TTATATATTATTATAAATTATTGGAAATGAATTTGATCAATAAATAAAGAATAGGTTTAATGTATTTAAAACCAAACAAGTTCCAAGATCAGATAAAAAAATTAGAGATTAAGTATAACCAAATTTCCAAATTTATATAGAGAGGAAATGAGACGCGTATAGATAAATATAGAAACTATTTCCTCTGGAAAATTGCAGGTAGTTGCGAAATATACTGGGTAAAATCTCGTATAAAAACAGCTTAAAGTGATATAATTGGGAATGCCCGACTGGGAAATACACTGAGCACTAAGCGATTGATGGCATTACATAATTTACATTAAATATACAAAAATAATATGTGTTTATATACAGATATATAAGTCAATAATAAAATAAATAGAATTAAAAAAAAAGTAAATAAAAGTAAATTTTAACTGAATAAGCAAGACAGAGTCATAATCTAAGCGTATTGTAGTCGCTCACAGACAGATAAAAAAAACATAGTCAAAACTATTATTATTGACTTCAAGCTTCCGTGTATGTACAAACATAATAATACATACATATACATATGTATAGTACGCGATTGTGTCCCTTTTAGTCCATTTGAAATGAGTCCGGAACATTTTAATACTTTGTGCTCTATCTCGCTCTGACTCACGCAATACATTCCCCTGTAACAGAAGCTTTCACAATCAACACAATAAGTCCACAACGAGGTGATGTAAAATATTATGCGTAGAGTGCGCGCATTTAGCAACAACGAAACAGAGGAACAAAACCAAACAAATAAAATGCTGCCAGACAACAAAAAAATAACAAAATAAGAACCAACAACAACGAGCAGCAGAGCACAGACAAAATTGAAGCTCCACCCACAAAAGTGTTCAGCAGTGCAAACAAAAAGAAACAGAGAAAAACGAAAACAAGAAAGAAAAAGCAACAACAACAAATATCTTTAAAACACCTACAAAAGGCCCAGCAGCGAGTGTTGGCTGCTACGTTGCCACCCACCAAAGAGAGCGTCCAGCTTAATACATGTCAGCTTGCGCTGACTAAGAGAGCGATGCAAGAGAGTCAGCGCTAATGAGGAAGCGAGAGAGAATGAGAGAGGGAGAGGGAGAGATGTTGCAGCAGTCGGGGGTTGATGCGTATCAAAAGGATTATCAACAAGCACACAGACACACACACGCATACGCACACCCAGCCGCATACATTTCGCCTCTATAGCGTAGTCCAATAAGGAAGTTGAGAGTGCGCGTAATCAGCTGATTGAAAATAAAACTAGCCGAAAATGACCAACTAGCAGACAGTTTATCTCTCTGTGAGCCCTAATATAGTTACACACACACACATGCACAGCGCATTAGGCTGTTAAACTGTTCCAAAGGAATTAAGTCGAATCTTTATGACAATTTGTGGACTTGGTAGACAGAAATGCGTATTAATATTTATAAAAATATATTATAGTATGCACAAATTTTAGTAGACAATTAATGTTATATAAATGTATATATTATCAATATCACTATATCATATTTGTAATTATACTATTATTATACTTGTGCATTTTATGAATTTTCAGATATACATTTTGTATTTACCTATGTAGAATGAATATGTACATACATATGTAAAATAAATATTGCAAATTCTGTTGCTTTGATACATACATATATAAATTAAGAATATATAAATATTGACTGCTAGCGCAGCTTGTACATTTGTGCATATTTGTGAGTTTAGCAATGTTTTTTTCAGCAGCTCAGTAAATTTTAGTATTTACAACTTTGTCTACCATATTCAGTAACAGTTTTTAGTTGAAGTTTAGAGAAATCTTAAGTTAACCTAAGACTTGCGCTGTTTTAAGGAATATATGCAAAATGTATTACAAATGCTTAACTTGATTTGAAACTTATATGCGTCAAGTAAGATACAATATTCCTTGAATATATTTTAGCATTTGGAAAAACACATAGACTCTAACAGTATATATAGACTAAAACACCCGTTTAAACTACTTTAAATATATGCTGGCTACTCCCGTATAAAACGTGGCACCAATT